CTCCCTCCCCCAAAAAGTTCAGTAGTATGCTAGAAATCTGAATGACGCCATCAAGCGACCTGACCTAACAGTGTCAGGTCCGCTGCACCCGACAACTGTCGACTTCTTACTCATCTGAACTGTGTATGGTATATTCACCAAGTTATAGCACACATTGTGGCATAAAGTAACTCTAAGAACACGTTCTCTGGGCTTTACAGAGTTGAATTAGAAGTCACTAGCAATACGATAAGTAGAAAATCCTTAAATATTTGGAAAGTAGTAGCATACCTTCCAAATAACCCAGTTCCAAGAAGAAAGTCACTAGAGAAAATATTTTGAGCTAGGAGGTCGTAAGAACACACTCTACTAATACCTGTGGGAGGCAGCTGAAGCAGGGTTTACAAGAAAATTCATAGTTTCAAGTGTTACAAACTAAAAATGGGCTAGATATCAATGATGCAAGCTTCCCATTTAAGAAATCAAAAAGCAGGAGGATATTAAACTCAGGATGATTAGAATAAAAAATAACATAAAGCAAAACTTCTCCAATTTATGTACTTAAGCAATACAAAAATTCAGCAATAACTAAAAATGATAAATCATTACAATCAGGTGGGGTTTACCTGAAGGATGCAAGGTTGGTTCAACATCTGAAAAACTGTTCCTATAACGAATCACGTTAAGAGAATAATATAGCAGGGGCGCCTGGGTGGCTTGGTTAAGTGTCTGACTTTAGCTCAGGTCATGATCATGCGGTTCGTGGGTTCGAGCCCTGAGTCTGTGCTGACAGCTCAGAGCCAGGAGTCTGCTTCAGATTCTGTGTCTCCCTCTCTCTCTGTTCCTCCCCCACTCGTGCTCTGTCTGTCTCTCTTTCTCAAAAATAAATAAACATTAAGGAAAAAAAACAACAAAAAAACATCAATTCCAAAATCATAAACCTTAAAGTGAAAGAGAAAACCATAAAAATTCTTGGAGAAAATGCAAGTTACTCACCTCTGCTGCCTGGCTTGGGCAAAACAATTTACGAAAGGGCATTAAAAGGACAAACCGTAAAAGACAAGACTGGTAACAGAACGTGAAAAGTAAGACACTTTGTTAACGAAACGAAAAGCTAAGTCATCAGCTGGAATGCTGTTACCGTGTCAACATGTAGACCTTGCATCCAGAACGTGTAACCTTCAGAGCTGGGCAACAGGGGCACAGGATGCGGGCGCTGGCTTCACAGATGAGAAACGGGCACCAGGAGGGTGCGACCCCGTCAGGCATCCGGGAGTGTGTTTATCAGCACAGGGAATGCCGTCCGCGGCCACTCAAGGACCAGTGCCGCAGAGAGGGCGGCCCGGGGACCGTGGTGCGTCGCGCTGGGCACCAGTAAGCCTGGCGCTCGCCACGGGACTGGGCGGTGGCAGGCCGAGGTCGTCACCCGAGAAGTGAAACCACGTGTCTGCGTGCAGGAGCACACAGACGCTCGTGACGGCCCAGAGCTGGAAACAAACCAACCCACGTCCCTCAAAGAGAGTAGACAAAGCTGTGATGGACGTGCCCTGGGCATCAAAACACCCAAGCTTCCGCTAAGAGCAATAGCAGGAACGAATCTCAAAAGTGTTTCCCTGAACGAAAGGAGTAAATACTGGATGGTTCCATTCATAAGGGGTCCCAGAAGTCGCACACCTAGTCTGTGGCAACAGAAATCTGGCCCTGGTTGGGGGGCAGGGGCTGGGGGCCGGGCTATTATGGTCTTGACGTACGGGCATGGACACCTCAAGTGTATGTGCTAATTCTACGTAACTATACTTCAAAAGAGTTGATTTTTTTTAAGTAAAAAAAAAAAAAAAAATTCTAGTAATCTCTAATAATTAAAACACAGTAGACTGGCCCAGGGTGGACAGGCAGGGCGCCTGGACGGGGAGGGGGGTGGCAGACAGGCAGGTTGCCTGGACGGGGAGGGCGACGCAGGCCTTTCCGGCTGGGGCTGGGACAGCGAGCCTTTTATCTGCACGAAAGTCTAGGTGCGTTGATGAGCTGAAAGGGAGGTTTTAAGTCAAGCTGTAATGCTTCCGGAAAAAAATACATAGAATACGTATTTTCTGACCTGTGTTCAGGGAAGACTGCTTAATTAAGAAACACCAAAACCAATCCAGAAAGGAGAGCCTGGGAAATTGAACCACATATAATTAAAGTTTAGTAAGAGGAGGAAGTGATACAGACAGGAACGGATACTGGCACCACAAGTAACTGACAAGGAGCTTATATCCAAATTATATGGGGACGAAGAAATTGTATGGGGATGAAGCCGGCGGGACAGACACAGTGGACGCGGGTCAGAGGGCCGGGTCAGGACTTCCCAAAAGGAGGGACCAAGCAGGCAGGGATGGACACTGCTCAGCCTCACTGGCCGTCAGAGCAGCCTGACCGCACAAGCCAGCACCTCAGGACGCGGGGAGTTTCTGGAAGGCAGGGCCTCTCTGATCCTCAGTGTCAGATGGGGGCAGGGGCTAGACCCGCTGTCTCAGAGCCGTGTGGACAGTGTGGAGTCCTGAACGACCAAACACAGATGGCAAGTAACAGAGAAGGGTGAGGACGGGGTTGGGCTTCAGTAGCAGACAGGCAGGGACCTGTCCCGACACCTGCCACTCCCAGGGGTCTGCAGAAGCCAGGCGTTCTGCCTGCCAGCTGCTGGGAGGACAGACACATACTTCCAGTCCCCGCCCCCCTCCCTTCTTCTGGCCCCAAGTGTGAGCTTCTCACTTCCAGGTTCTGTCCATGTCGAGCCAGCGGGGAGGCCAACCCAGGCACCCACCAGCCTTCGGTCGGCCGGGTCACTCTGCGGGGCTGAGCCTTCCTTTGGCCCTGCCCCCACAGGCTTCACCTCACCTCCTCTGTCCTGCAGAGAGGGGCTCCTCTGTTTCCGAAAGCCCAAAGTCAGTTCTCCAGCAAAAATAAAGCTCCCCCCACCTCCACAAAACCCTGATAAAATAAGTAACCTCTGGCAAGTACCACCAGCAAGAAAAAGAGAAAACGGTCATACGCAAAAGATCAGAGATGTAAGGTGGACACAGAATGGCAGAGAGAGACCAGTATGTGTCACTTCTTCCTCAAACTTGAAAACCTAGAAGAAAGGGCACCTTTCCCGGGAACCGTGAGGGGAGGCTGCCAACGGAGCAACGAGGGAGAGGGTCGGGCAAGCAGGGAGGGAAGCAGGGGCCGCCCAGGCTGGGCCCAGACGCTGTCCCCTGGACACCCACCAGGAACAGGCAATTTCCATGGGGCTCCCTCCTTGTCAGGGAATGGAAACCACTAAAAAGCTCCCAGCTCACTCTGTGAAAAACTGATACCCAAATGGATAATAATTCCTGAAAATCACGCAAGTAGAAGCTACCCTCAAAAAGCAGGCACGCCTCAACACTTAGAAGGTATTATTCTGATTCACTGCGTCAACAGCTTCAATGAGAAAAAACACAGAATCCTCCCAAAAGAGGCTGCAAAAGCATTTGATGAAACTCAAAACCCCTTCCTGAATATAATTCTTACCATAGTAAAAACATAGTAGAAACAGGATGTCCTTACCCGACCAGCCCGCGAGCCCCTCACGGGGTGAGCGCCAACACACGTCTCTGCTCGGTCAGGGTTGTGCCCAAGAACCAGCTGTCAGACGTGACAGACACGTCCCAGTTCAGCACAGGTGGACAGAGACCAGAGCCCTCCCACCACCCACAGCAATCAGAAGGCGAAGCCACATGCCGTCGGTACAGCCACGAACGCTAGAGAGGACCACGACGTCACCTGCCATGAAATGTCCAACACCTACATAATTACACAAGATTATAAAGAAAGAAACTTCGTGCCCCCGAAAGAGCGCAAACTAGACCTGAAACCATGGCAACACAGCCCCGAGCTGCTGTGTGCTGCTGCAGACGAGGAGGCCGCTTCTCCCCGGATTCATTCGTGCACTTGCACAGCCCAGCACATACGGCTCATGCAGAAGAGGAAGTGCTGAAGAATTCACCAAGGAAACTTAGAGAAAAGAGTATTGGGAACCTACGTTATTGAACAATTTTAAATTACTATCAGTGAGGAGGTGGACAGACAGACGGACACTTCCTCTCCCACCTGTGGGATGGGCCCGAGCCAGGCAGGACACTTCAGGTCTGTGGGGCACTGGTCACCACGTGTCTGTACATGGCATCATGGGAAAACAAATCTGGGACGGACTAGGGTCTGAGTGTGAAAAGCTACAAGAGCGTGGGGAAGGGAGGGATGCTTGGATACTTTGATCATCTGAGCAGAAACACCTCCCAGAGCCAGAACCCAAATCCAGACGCCATGGAGGGAAAGACCCCTGGAGGGAGCGACAGGAAAGCTCACAACAGGTGGTGGAGCACGGCACAAACCAAACTACCACGTGCCACCAAATGGGGACTGTGTCACATAAGCAGCAGACACGGGGGTACCAGCCACGCACACAGAAAGCTCCCGTAAGTGACAACACACACAACACAGGCAAGGACCGCGAACATCAAGTATGAGAGGAGACGTGGGGACGCTCCCTGCATCCACGAGTTCAACGTAAACACAGCCGAGATGCCGTCTTTGATCCATCAGACTTGCGAGGGCCAGTAAGTCTGCGAGCAGCGCTGATGAAGGAGCAGCGAGCCGGGTGCCCTCACGCAACGCTGGTGGGAACGCAGCGGTCAAGAAAAGCAATTTAACGGAATCTGTCACAATTTAAAATGTGCCTTTGACCCAGCAATTCAATCGGGAGAAATCTCGCAAAGGCGGACAGCACAAACGCAGAAGGATGTGTGTGCGAGAAAAAACGGCACACCCGAGCCCCGCCCACTGGCCAGGGACCAGGTGTCTGAACGGTGGCACACCCCCATGTGGGCATGAGAAAGCACGGGCAGACAGGCTCGGTCAAGCAGAAAGGCAGACTTTAGGCCAAGGGATGGGCCGGGACCCTGGCCCAAGTGTGTGACGGTGGCGAGGGCACCCGCGAGGGGACTGCGGTGTGGACTCACCTGCTCCACGTGGGGCTCCTTGGCGAAGGAGATCCTGGCGACGGAGTGGGACGTGATGCATAGCTCCTGCCCGTTCACCTCGCCCTCCTCCACCTCCACGATGCCTGTGGGACCGCCAGTCCTCAGTGTCCCGCCCGCGGCTTCCTACGCCGCTGCTCCCACCACCGGCCTTTGCACCCCAGGCTTCAACAGGTCTGAACTTTGAAGCCATCGAGGCGACGACCTGTCCCCCTGGCCAGCACAGAGACTCCCAGGCGTCGAGGGGGAAAGACTCACGGGTCCTCTTATAGCCAGGGCGGGGGGGCGGGGGGGGGGGGCGGTCTGTGGAGGGTCATTCTCTCCGGGGGTGCCCTGACCCTGGCCCTGCCCTCGGCCCCATGAAAAAGGCCAGGAGGCATCCCCCTCCCGGCCATTCGCTGCCCCCCCGACCTCCAGCTCACTACTGCCTTGGGCAGGCCCACCCCAAGTCGGGCTGGTTCTGACTGTCCACCTGCTTCTAGGAAGTGAGCCCCACTTGGACCAGTGAGCAAGGTTAAAGGTCAAGCAGGTGTGATTTGAGTAATTTCCAATTAATCAACCCTGTGAGCTATCTTAGGGTGGCCTGGCACTGGGGGCGGTGCGGACTTCCAGAGAACCTCGGGCCCCGTGTGGGCCTCCTGGTCTGGTTCCCTCCACGCAGCCCCAGCCTACAGGCAACACCCGTGTGCAGCTCAGGGCAAAAGGGGACCCGCAGCCCCTGCCACCAGCTCCCTCCCGCCAGCCCCACTGGGCCCGTCCGAAGGCCTGATGCTTCCCAGAGGTCACTTGCAGAGTGGCAGGCGGGACGCAGATGCCACCTCTGGCGCTGGCCACCCCTCTACTGGCATGCGGGCAGGGGGCGGGCCGTCCAGGGACAGTACCTGTGTTCTGGGCGCTGACGAAGGCCACCTTGTTGGTGTCGGGCTTGAGGCGGATGAAGCCACACTCCCTGTGCATGGGCTTGTGCGTGTCCGGGTGGAAGGCGTTGAACCTAGCGGGCAGGAGGGTGAAGGCCCAGGTAGCGGATACCCCCGAGACAGGGCCAGGCTGCGTGCACGTGCCCGTCTCACTGTACGAAGCCCCCACCCACCAAATGTAAAATAAACAGCTTCTTGTTCATGTGGAAAATGCAGAGACACATAAAAGACACGGCCCAAGAGACACGAGAGACCACGTGTGTGGCCCGGCTGCCAGGTACGTCAGGACTGTCTCCAACCCAGAAGCCGCTCCTCCAGGTGCCACCCGCCCTCGCTCTCATCTGTGTCCCCATCTTCCTGACCGTCACGACTGACAGTGACCTTGATGACAGAAACTCGGTCTCCATAGTTTAGGCACACGCCTCCTGCAAGGCCCCTCCGTGCTTTTCGGTCCCACGCACCCCACAAGCACAGTCAAATCCCACCCTCACCCCAGGCTTTGCCTCTTGGGAGCTATTATCGTGCTCGGGGGTCCCACCAACCCCCACGTAAGACACAGCAGGCACGAAGTCAGGGTGCTGACAGAGGACCTCAAAGGCCGTGCGCTTGGCTGTGTGGTACGAATCTGAGAACCACAATACTAACCGCTTCTCTGAGACCTCACACGGCTCAGCTCAGGGGGGATTTCTGGGAAAGGCATGTTCGTCATCTTATTCTCAGTGACACGGGGGTGGCTGGTCTCCATACAGGACCGCGGCAGGCACGGGGGAACTTAACTGAGTGCCGGCACCACTGATGGTGTGTTTGCATCAACACGCCCGAGGCTTTGTGGTCGGCCGCGCGTCTTCAGAAACGTGACCACCAGAAAGCACCTCGTTATCCACTGTGCGACCAGATTCGGGGCAGGGAGAGGGCGCGTCTCCGAAATACAACCAAGTTCCTTTGTGTCTTCCCACCCGGCGCCCGCCGCTCCGTCCCCGGTCCGGACCTGCTCTTGCACGCGGTCGGGGGCACACTTACGAGAAGTTCAGCACGGGCTGGCCCACGTGGGAGATGTACACCTCCTCCAGGTACCGGAAGGGCTGCAGCGTCGGGAAGGTGCCGGCTCCCGGCGGGTCGGACAGCCAGGTGCCCAGCATCCAGGACAGCGGCTCCACCACTGGGTTCATCGTGGGGGGCTCTGAGGACAGAGGGAAGAGGCGGTCAGTGGGCTCCGTGTCCACGCTCGGTGAGGGAGCACGCCCTTGTGCAGACAGCAGAGCTGGTGCCTCCATGAATGCGCACCAGCCGGCCGTCGAGCCGGGGAGAGACAGCAAATGTCATCTTGTCAGACGCAGCTCCCACGCGGGGGAGACAGCAAGAGGGCCTGGGGGTGGGCGGGGCTGAGGCCAAGTCCAAGCAAGACAGGACCCGCGGAGGAGGGCTGCCCTGCGCCAGGCTGGCGGCAAGAAGTGGGAGCAGCTGTGGGTGGAAAACGGCGGGTCGCCCCTCCACCGTGGGAGCCCGCCCGGACAGGCACAGGTGGCCGGGGAGGGGTGGGGCCGCTCCTCCCGGCCTCTGCAGATGGCCTGTGGACAGCTGGGAGTGAGCATGGCCATAAGACTTTCGTAGTTAGACGACAAGAGAAAAGTGAAGTCGGGACTTCGGCTACCACCTATGGTGGAGAGCAGGAATAAAAGCTTCATAGTCAAAGGTCTGGAGCAGGACAGAGCAGACAAACACCCTGCTCACAGGGACACCGGTGTCCCACCGAGGGAAGAGAGCAGTCCACCAAGAAATAAGAAAAGGATGCTGAATGTGTGGCGAAAGAGGCGACAAGCCGAAAGGGGGTGGGGCTGTGTGGCATTTGAGCTTGAAACTTCGAGGGCGGAGGACGGCTCCCTGAGACGCGTGCAGAGGCCGCGGTGGGAGTGGGCCTGTGGCCGCTCCGGGACACGGAGGCTTCCCCAGGGCCAGCCGGGCCAGATCCTGGAGGACCCTGGGGAGGTCCGAGTGGGAGACGCGGGGGCAGCACGTGCCTGGTGGCGGAAGAGGGCTGCCTGGGCCCTGTGTCGCCGGTGGAAAGGGCCAGATCCCAGGGGTGCCCTGCAGGGAGAGCCAGCTGCACGCACGGATGTCTGGGATGCAGGGCTGGCGAGCGGCGCCCGAGGTTCAAGGCATCAGGGAGACAAGGGGAGAGCAAAGCTCGGATGGTTTGGGCCTGCGGTTCTCAGAATAAACAGAAATCACTGTTTTTCAGCCAGCCAGCTAGCCAGCCAGCCACAGCCTCTGAGATGCTCTCTGTCCAGCGGACCCTGTGTCGCGTCCAGGGCAGCACTTGGAGCCGCTGTCCAGGCCCCACCTGCTGGTCCAGTCCCCTCTGAGTGAGAGCAGTGCCCGCCTGGGCTGGTGAGCGTGGCCCTTCCCCTGGGCACATAGCCTAGGGTGGCGATGGTGGAACTGCAGCCAGGCCCCGTGGGCCTGGGATGAGGGGGAGGGAGACAGACAGGGAAGGACCCAGAGACGGAGGGAGACAGACGGACAGAGAGACAGGGAAGGACCCAGAGACAGGGGAAGGACAGACGGACAGACAGAGAGACAGACCGGGAAGGAC